TTGGATGGCTCGGGGTGTCCTGTCTGTGTGATGAATCACTTCAGCTGTTTGCCTCTGCTCTTACTCATGTTTAGTCTACATGAAGTGAAAGAATTTCAATTCCAGTTGAGATGTAGGAGAGAAATCCTCTCTGTCTGCACAATGAGGATCATCACTAGTGCCGAGAAACCAAATCACAACATCTTTTGCTGAATTGGGTCATAAGATCTTTTGACCTCTCTGGCCAGTGGATGTACAGTATGCTGAGATGTCTCCTTCAAATCCTCTTATTTGGAGTTACTCTATAATGCTGTCATCTTCGGGTGGAACACTGCTACCAGCTCAACACAAGACTGAGTAGTTTTGGATCATTCAAAACTGAAAACAATTCAACTTTTCCACCCCCCCCCACTAAATGTCTCAGTTTTTACTGCTGCTGTTTCTTGGGGACATAGCTTGAGAAAACCAATATGCTTGACCCAGTGTACCATTGACTATATGGTACTTTCAATACAAAAATTTAGAAAAGTCTCACTGGAAATTGTGTGCAAGAGTTGCTTCAATCTGTAAGACAGAGCTGAAATGACTTTGAAGGTTCATCAGAAGTCCTCCCTGACCACACTGCTGAAGGCATCTGGCGTTCTGGCAGACTCGCTGGCTAAAACCATTGGAAGGCGCTCTGCTTCCTTGGCAGGGAACAGCAAGATCTGCTGTGACCCAAGTAGTTTGGGATATCCTTGGGGCTTTTGCAGTCAGCCATGCACCTTCAAAGCCTCTGCTGGAGAAGATGGAGTGGGCAGCTTTCCCATTCCCCAGCAGCATATGGCGTACCTTTAAGGCAAATGTGTTTATAGCCTATATGCAAACAGGCTTCAAAGAGGGTAAACTGTATTCACTCCCCAAACTAGTATGAAAACCAGGGAACTGCAAAAGAGAGATTGCTCAGACAGTGTTGGTTTGATTTTTCACGTCTGTGCTTGCCTGGGTTTCTAAGGAAGATTTCATGAAGGTTTGTCCCATCAGAGGTAAGGAGGGCTGTGGTGGTTACCGTCACCTCCTGCCTGCTTCCCACGGGCACAGGCACGCCGGATCTCCAGAGATCGTGGCTGTCACTCTGACAGCGTTTGCTGTGAATCATCCTGTCTCTAAACTTGTCTGTGGGAAGTTTTTTCTCTTACGTAAGGGGTTTGGAAGTATCCATCGACAGCACTGGCAGCTCCGGCAGCCTCGTGCCTGTGGCTTCTGGCATCCAGCACCACAGGAGTCAAATGCCTTGGCACAAGGGGTCTCTGCCTGATGCCTGCTCATGGCCCCTTGAGCCTGGACTCCTTTGTGGGGGCTTCCCAGGCAGCCCCAACCCAAGCTCACGGGGCTGACTTGTTTGAGCTCCCAACCAGCTTCTGGAAAACCTTCCTGATAAAAGCCCTGCGCCTTGGTTATTCTGCTAACCCTTCCAAATGGTACCTGCGTTCCTGCAGCGCTTCTCATCGCAGCGAGCAGACTGGAACATGGGCTGAGGCTTATCCACTGTATTATGCACAAATGGCTCTTTAATTATTTACAGACATCTATCATTTGATATATATAAAGCTGAAGCACCTACCAGCCCACAGGCAGAATGGCTGAAAGCAGCCTGCTTGGCACCATATTTTAACTGAAATCCCCCGATGCTAGCTTTGTTTTGCATAGCACTTTGTAATACTGTTAGTTGACTTGGCTGCAGTTTCACAAAGCGTTTTTTTCCACTTGGTTCAACACTCACTTGAATTTAATGGGACTGGGGCCAAATAAGTAATGGAAGCCAAGTGACGACGCTTGTTTGGTGTGCAGTTCCCAACAAGGAGTATATATAGTAATTGTCTCTTGCTCCTCAAAGCTGTAACTTTGGCAGAGGGGATGCTTGAGTGAGCATGCCAAGTATTTAAAATCATAATCAGTCAGTGATGAAAACATGTATTTATGACCATAATGAGTTGCATCAAAGCAAGAAACGTTTGTCTTCTCTGTAGAAGTAACAATGTCTCTTAATTCAGAAATGCCTACTTTGAAATCGCACAAAGATCTGTCATTTAAAAGCTGTGCGAGCTTGGCCTAAATGTCTGGCTTATTTCACAATATTCCTACTATTCACTCACAGCTGCAATTTTAGCCGTGGTTACCAGGTTCTGCATGAAGGCATGATAAAGGGACATTGCACATTTTCACGTGCTTACAGCATGTTATTAAAGCATTCTGCCATCCTGGCCTTGCAGATAGATTATTTTTTTTAAATTTTTTTGTTTCTTTGCTCGTTGAATGCTTGATTTTATTATCTTTTGCTGTTTCTTTCTGGCACATCAATGATTTGTTTTTTGGGGGGGCGTGCTGTAACACACGAGTCTTCTGTGGTTCCTGGAGGCCTGCTGGATGCAGTGAGGGTTTGAGATGCAGCAGTGCTGTGTTTCTGTGATGCATTTAGGCTGTGGATTGATTGCGAGAGCACGTATGGATCTGGGAGTATCCCTGCTTAAGCAAATTACTTTCAGCACACCCTTTATGCCAGCATCACTGCTTCTTTTCAGCTAGGGGAAATTTATTCCTGTCCAAAAAAGTTGAAAAATGCCGTTTATAAACAACTGCTTTTTAATAACTTCCTCCCAGCTCGCACGTTGACTCATCTCTCCCCTGCTTGTAGGAAGGAGTGTGGATGTCATCTTTCTAATGAGGTGGCACATTAGGGAAGATGCTACGCAGGGTTCCTGGCTTGGATCCCAAAAAGCAATAGAGCTGCTGTTGTGATGCTGCGGCCAAATTACAAGGGAGCCAGGTCTGAATCATCTGGGTGTAGCATGCATGGATGTCAGCGTGCTGAGCCTGGGGAACCCTGAGCTGGCTCTGCCCTGGACGGGGCTGGGGGTGGCTGGCTGGGTGGGTGTTGCTCAGTTTTGGCTTGTTTTTCTCATCGAAAAGTTCATTGGAAGTTTGTAGGTGGGGTGTTAGTGCTTATTGCTCAAGTTTTTTTGGTGGGCCATGGTCTGTTCGGGAAGTCCAGGACCATCTATCAGAATGAGGATGGTGACAACATGAAAATAGCCTTCCGCAGGAGCCTGCAGGCTGGCCGGCTTAGCCCCAGTTCTACATGACTGCCTTGGAGTCTCTTCTCTGGAGACTTTGACATAGTCATCTGTTACTCTGTACACCTGGATATCTGTTGTTCTATGTGCTACTTCTGTTTTGATTTGTAGAACAGGAACATTGCAATGCTTAGCACTTGCATTGGAGCATTTTTACATTATTAAGCTAAATTTGAACTTAATTTTTTTTAATTTCAAGCCTCATTTTCATTTTAAAAAGGGCTGGATAGTTCGGAGTTTTTCATAAGCGTCACTTCACAAACTTGTATTACGTAAGTTTAATTTCTTTGAATTCTAGTGAAAACAGACCTCAAGAAAACTTTTTTTTTAACAGCTTAAAAAGAGTTAACCTGCTTCATCTGCTTACCAAAACCTGTGAAGCTGGCAGGAATTAATTACAGGGTGTCCAATGGTATCTTCCTGGTACTACTTCAGAAAATAGGACAGTTCTGGTTTAATTGCAGTGAAATGTATTGGGCATCAACATGTGTTGAGCTGGCTGTTGTGCAAAAAAAAAAAAAAAAAACTACTTTCTATGACAAAAGGGGAAAGCTACTTGGCTTTCTGACCTGTGGAAGCTCCTCAGATCCTACTGGGCAGATGAGGAACTGGAGCAGCTCCAGCTCTGCTCATCTCCGTGGTTTGCCAGTTCTGTGATGCATTAAAATAGCATTAAAATATTTATTTCCCAAATGATACTGGAAACAGGGCAGAACTGCTGTCATGAGAAGACTTTGCATGGCAGAACTATGTTGGAAATGTATTTGAGTTTATAAAAGCCTTTTCTTTCTCAGATTTAGAGGTGTTATGTGCTGAAATTCTGGCTGAAGGTGGAATGCATTTCTTTTCTGCTTTCATCTATCCTTGTACTTCGGAGTTGGACTGTTTCCTCGTGTATGTAAAGCCTGAGCAGTGTACGCCTCTGTAGTTTTAATTGTCTGATCCTGGGGTGTTATACCTTATCCTGGTACAATGAAAATGGGTATCTGGTGCACATGCACAAAGCCTCGTCACTTGCTGTGGTGATGGGGGGAGTGTTTCTGAGCCAAGATCTCTATTCTGTGTCTTTTCTCCCAATATCTCAAAAAAACCTGTGGTTAGGAGAAAGAGAGACAAATCTTTGGTTGTAATAGTCATTAGTCCACACCTGACTTACAGCAAAATGAAGAAATACCTTCCTGCAAAATGTTTCTCTACCGTTAGCAGCAGTGGGTGGGCCAGGATCTTTGGAGGATCACGGAGGTGACCAGTTTACCCTATGTTTTCCACGCAGGGAGTTTTGTCAAGGCAGAGACTGCTCCCGCAGCAAGTTTGCAGACAGCAGGTGATGGCCCTGGGCTGGGTTAGATGCAAAGTGGTCCTGCTCTCTCCTATTAGCAGGGATTCCCAAAAAAGAATTGTGTGATTCAGCAGTGAGAAAAGCCTTCCTGCCCACAGAAAAGTGTGGCTGTGCATGGTTCAGATCGCCGCAGTAAGTCCTGTCCTGTCCTGCTCCGCAGGACCATGAGGTTTAGGGTTGGTTCATCTAAGTTTGTGATATGGACCCATGCTTTGCATGTGGATTTGCTTGAGTGAGCAAACTAGAAGGTGTATACACAGAGAAGGATGCCAGTAACTTTCAGTATGATTTTGGTGTAACTGAGGTGTCTGAGACTGAAGCGTCAGATTCTGACTGCTTTGGCTAATCCTAATTTGATCCCACTACAAAGTCAGTAATATGTCTGTAGATGTAATAAACTTAATTACTTAACTGCAAGCACGAGGAGCTATGAAGGAGAATAATTTGATGCATTTGTTTTAAATTACCTTCAAATAGTTGAATGGGGAGCAGCATATTTTGGTGGGGAAACCACTATATAAGATATCTAAAGATGCTAAAAATGTGGTTCTCTTCTGCTTGCAGCTCCCAGCCCCACTACAGCTGTTCCTTACATGTCAGTGAAGTGCATTGATGTAAGAAAAAACCACCACAAAACGAAGTGGCTGATGCCCTGGGGACCCAACCACTGTGAGAAGCTCAAAGACTTCGACGAGGCAGTGAGCAGGCAGATTGAAGCCAATGATATCGTGTTTGCTGTGCACGTTCCCCTCCCCAGCAAGGAGATGAGCCCCTGGTTCCAGTTCATGCTTTTCATCATGCAGCTGGACATCGCGTTCAAGATGGACAACGACCTAAGTAAGTCCTTCTCCATAGTTCGTTAGATGCTGACTGTGGTCTGATTTCCCAATGTGTATCTTTTAAAGTTGCTTTTATCTTGCACCATCTGGTAACTGCTGCAGTGCCTCCCTATGGTGAGGTGATACAGGAGCATGTTCTAAAGGTGGGAATCAGTAATGAGACGTTTCAGGATGTGTCTTTGCAGGGAATGCCGCTCACGCTGCGCTAGCGGGTAGCCAAGCAGACGATGAGCAGGTTCCCTGTTAAAGTATGTAGACCATCAGCAACTATGCTGATTTAAATCCAGCACTTTGCTTTCACAGTTTATTCTCCGGGGTTTCCAGGCTGCTGAGTGCACAGCAACAGTTTGCAGCTGATAATACAGCCCAGCCCTTTCAGCTGCTTCTACGTGTTCCCATCCTGTCCCTCGTGCTGGCCCTGCACGTGCTTGGCTGTGAGCTGCCTCGTGCAGCCTCCTCAGCGGGAGCTCGGGTTTGGCTGGACAAGGTCTCTGACCGGGTAGTAGGTTGAGTTGGTCACTACTGTGCAAGGTAGTGCCAGGGCCACCACTGAAGATCTGCTGGAGCAGGTAAAGAGTGGGAATGTCCCTTCTGGAGGCAGCACATTCACTGGAGCAGCAGTGTCACTTCACTGTGCTCTAGCTTGGGCATCTCCTTCTGTGTGGAGGTGGGGAAAATAATGAGTTTTTTTATTATTTTTTTTTATTTTTATAAATGTGTCTGCCCCAAAAATCCTTTCTGTCAAGCTTTGTGGTGGCTACCCGTTTCCCAGTGCTGAAGACTTGAAGCCATGCTACTCTCCTCTGTGTTTGCCAAGTGCTTTTGTGTGGTGAGTTTCTAAACTACAAGCCAGAGTACTCTGCAAATTAAATTATTGGTCCATAAGTTTACATGAGGAGCTTGTAAGAAGAAATGCTCATGCCTGAAGGTTTTAAACACCCATTCTCCATTGGGCATCAGATGCAGAAGAGTTGATGTTTACTGACTGAGCGGTTGTCAAAATAACAGCTTTGACTTCCTCAGTTTGAGATTAGTTGTTGATGAACTGAAATCCTTCAGTTCATCGACAAAAAACTGCCCTACTTTCCATCAATTGTTGTGAGAGACATTCTTTGCTAGGATTTGATACATGCAGATGGGAAGTACCTTCTGGCCTTGAAACTGCAGTGGTCCAAATGAACTGGAAAATGGTATAAGTACAGGAACTGTGGAAGAAGCTGTCTTACTGCGATTCATTCTTAGTACCTGGAAGAAAATAAAATATGCAAAAAACCCAACCTCAAACTGCAAAAAAGCAAGCTCAAAAATAACACTGCAAAAAGTCTGTAAAGTGATGTTGGGAGCTGCAAGGGCAAGACTCACCTGCCCCTTACTGAAAGAAGAGTTGTACACATGTTAATATGTTTTGAAGTATTTCGTAAAAATCCCTCTCTCTTAACAACTATAACCTAACAATATATAAACAATTTACTTTTCAAACTGGTCTCAACTGGGGCTTCTGCAGCTCTTTCTCTGGCTGCAGTCTCTTGGGTCTGGCTCTAGTGCTCATGTAACTGAGTGGAGGATCGGTTCAGGTAGCAAATCCGTTGTAGAAACTGGCTGCTGGGTTGGGGATGTCGACTAGCAAACACGCATGCTGGTGCAGGGGGAGCTGGCCGCCTGGGACCAGGTCACCATAGAGCTGATGAAGCTTTGGTGAAGCTTTAAGTTTCCTTTACTGCCTTGCCTGCTCAGTGAGGACCTGTTCCTTCCTAGCTATCTAATGAATCATCGTTAAGATAAGTTAAAAATGAGATTGTATAAAGCTTACACATGTATTCTTATCCCTATAATTATCTCTAAAACAGAGAGGTGTAGCTTTAACTTTGAAGGCCTCAGCTTCTTAGACTTCAATAGATGATTGTGTTTAGAGAAATAAGGCTTTGTTCCGAGGCTTTTGAAGTCAAACCGCTGAGCTGGAGTCAGTAGCTGGCTGAGCACCTGGAGCAGGTGGCTAAAAATGCTACACAAGCTTTTGACAGTAATTTCTCCTGTAAGTGCAGAGAGCCTTTTCTGCAGGCCATTATTTGTGCTGTTCAGTGTCCAAGTCCTTCAAAGGTGGGAACTGTTTTTGCACTTTAAAAGCAGAAAAGCTTGTCTTGGACCACTGTCTGGGTAATAAAAGCAGGGTTTGGGGGTGAGCTGTCCACTTCTGCAGCTGGGGAAGACTCAGTTTCTGGTCATTATCAGTTCAGTAGCTGCTGGCAGGTTTTGTTTGTAAGAAGCATTTGGAGATGAGGGATGTAAATACTTCTTACGGTGTGAGCTGACTTGGCACATCTTGAAGGTTTTCCTTCATTGACTGAAGAAAGTATTTTAAAACACTTTTGCCTGCACTTTGTGTCAAGCTGAAGGCAGATGTAAATTAAGTGTAAAAATCTAAAACTAGTGAGTAACACATTTCTTGCTTGCTAGATTGTAACAGATTAAAAAAAAAAAGCCAAAATAATTGCATAGGTGTCTGTATCTTGCCGCTAACTTTGCATTAGTGTTAAGAGTTTCATTGATCAGGTAATTGGAATCAGCTCCTCAAAAGAGGCAATACTGAAGATATGAAATAACCTCATTTCTTCTTTTTTAAATTGACAATTTGAGTTTCTTCTCTCTTAAGCTTTGAGAGACCTCGAAGCCTGCAGTCACCCTGCAGTAGTTAATGCCAGCAGGGGCTGGTGCCAAACCAGGGACGGCTCCTGGAAGGCATCGCAGATGTTAAAGCCTCAGCCAGTCACCATCATAATGGCTGTCTTGAAGCTGCCTCAGATCATCTAGGAAAGCAGCGCCGCCTGGTAACTGCAAATGCTTTTATGTGCCTGAAGAAGCTGGCTGCCTGTCTCCCTGGGGAAACATCCCAGTCTCTGGTGGCTCCCGAAACCCTGCAGAGTGATTGGAAGACATTAAAGTCAATGTGAGGGTCCTGGGCTCGGCTGTACTCCCCTACTTGGTCTTCACCAGGGCCGCTGCTGAGCCACACCTCAAACCGTTGCCTGCTCTTCACTGCAGGCGCTTGGTCATCCTTTTTGCCCACATTCCCTAAGCAAGTCCAAAGCACAGAAGAAATATTTGCATCTGCCTGTGTGTCAGCCCTCTGCATCCAGTCAGCAAGGGTTTGCCCAGGGCGGAGGGAAAGGGCAGCCCTGGTAAGGGTACCTCAGGAAGCGGGAGAGCCGCCCGGGGCCTCGCAGGGGCTGGGCATCCCAAAAGACACCGTGGGCAACTTTCAGAGGAGGAACCAGCCTTTATCATGTTCGCCTTGGGAGCTTGCTCTGGACTTTTGTAATGTGGATGTTTAGAGATGTTTTGGAACTGCAGATGTTTAGAAGCTGAGCTACTTCCCTCATGTTTGTCCTTCACAGAAAGCTCAGAGAGATTCAAGACTTGCTGTTTCTCTGAGGAAAAAGTTATTTCTGTGCCCAAGCTGTCCTTGTCCTTTTTTAATGCATTGTGCATTCAATTATTAAAAAACCCTTTCCAGAAGAGAGAAAGGCGGCGGGCAGAGAAATGAGATGAAGTTCTCTTAAAACCTCTTCTACCTCGATCACAGAAGCTGTGGTGGGAAAGCAGAGTGCAACATCTGCCAGCAGGACCCACTCCCGCTGTGCTGCAAAATGCCCAGTTCACAGGGACTGTGGGGAGTCCTCCAGCGCTCACACAGCTGCTGGCACAGGACAGCAGCTGGTTCCCATCGTTCGATTTGAGGAACACCAGACGTTCCCAGGGCAGAAATAAAGGCTGTTCAGCTTGTCAAGGACCATTCTCTAAAACAGCAAGTGCCCTGGAAACGATGGTCCCTGCTCCCAGACAGGATGGGCGGCCAAGCCAGCTCCTGGAGCCACCTTTCCTTCACCTGTGCCTTTCTCCTGGGAGCAGAGCAGCGCTGCGGCTGTCCGTGGATGGGGTTGCTGGTAGCGAGTGTGCAAATCCCCTTTCCTCATCCAGTTAGGCGGTCATCTCTGTTCCCTGCACATCAGCTTCACTTAAAAATTCATTCCTGTTTTGCTTTGGTTGTTGCTTGTTGGCACACCTTGCTGCTGCGCTTTCATGGGCAGAATACCTCAGAAGGGTGGGAGGCTGTGCTGTGGGCTTGGAGGGGATTTCTCTATTTTTTTTATTATTTTATTTCTCTTTTGGGGCTGGTCTGCTGCCATGGGTCTGGGCCATTTGCATTTGGCAAGCTGCAGTGTTCTTAGCAGGGAACACAAGTCGTTCTCTGAGCTGCTTTGCAGCATGACCTTCTGCATGCCAAGAAAGAATTGACTGGTGTCTGTCCCTAGTTGGAGCAGCGACCTGGAGGCTGCTTGCTCCCCGACTGCCACAAGCTTCAGGAGCCCCCTAGAGCCGGGCTCTTGGCCTTCCTGCCTCAGTTTCATCTTGTGGAAAAGTAAACCTGAAATTGCTTAATATTGAATTGAAATGTGGTGTCCCTGAGGAGTACAAAGTGACGGTTGCACTGTGCTGGATGTTAGATAATGACGCCTCTGTTTATTGTGTGGCATAATAGTATGGAGAGACTTTCACAGTTTTGCAGTGTAAAAAAAAAAACCAAACTTGTTTTCTTATTATATCTAGTGAACTCTAAATGTTAGTAAGTGAGAATAATTCCTACTTTCTTTGCAGTTGGAAAGCGATTGTGCACAGTTGCATGGCTGTGCGCTGCAGGCTCCTGTTCAAATTCATGTATTTTTGGTCTCTTTGGTAGGTTTTGTAATTTTAGAAAGCGAGTGAAGCATGGAAGTGTACTGCAAGTAACACTAGCATTTCTTCCATTTGCTTGCATACGCTTCTTTCCAGACAACTGTATTAGTATGCAGTGGGCACAGAGCCATCTTCTGAAACAACTTCTCTATTTTTAGGCTATTGTAATGTGAATGAAGATATCCTCTGCTAATATCACACCATAAAGCAAATCGTGGAAAAGTTCTTGGGCACTGAGCGTCGGGCAGTAAAATGCCAACGTGAAAAAACTATTGGCGGTGCTGGGAGCATGACATGCTCTGGGGAGTCCCTTGCTGTAGGGGGGCCACGGCTCTTGAGCTGCTCCAGAGCATCTCGTAGCTCTGCGAATGGGGAGGCATCAAGAAAGCTCAAACCTGGAAACACCAGCGGAAGCGTGTCATCTTCTTGTTGGTCATCTCTGGAATGCCTAATCATCTACACAAACCTGTCTTGCTTCTGTAGGGTTTTTTATGTAATCCTATGGTACTAGTGAGGTTGTCACTCAGTGCTCGAGCTGCTAATATCACAGGGGATTTACCAGGCTCCAGGTTATCTAGATGTTATCTGTAAGATCTGTGAAGGCAAGGTTAGTCTGGAGCATGCCATGACGAGGTGCTCTGATATGGTCCTTGTGAGATGAAGTTTCCTGGCACAGACAATTTCCTCTCTTGGTACTGAATAAAACAAATTTCTGCCTAGTTATTTCTGCCTGTTATTGCTGGGAAATTCTGGAGAATCTGAATAATTGCTTTCCTTGAACATGTTAGCATCTGAGAAGCTGAGCACAGGTTTGCAGTGGCTTTTTCTTTTCTTTGCATGTATTCTTCCTCTTCTGCTGTGGTTGAATAATTAAAATACTCTGCTCTCTCAGCATTTCCAGAAGTAAAAACTGGCTTGTCTGCCAGTCTTTTGCCTCCTGTTCGCTCCTCCCATCCGCTGTTTTGATGGTAAATAACACTGTTGTTGTTTTAAAACACCTTTCTTTTCTCTTGAAGCCAAACATGGTGGAACATCAGCTGCTGCTTCTCTCCCTTTTTCCCCATGCACATATACCTGTGTGGGCACATAGCCTGCCCTTAGTACTCAGAGGACAGTGGGAGTGTCAATGCTGTGCATGAAAAGGGCACGTGCACCCACGTTGTCTATTCACAGTCTGACATTTTGGTATTAATGTGAAAAAGTCAGGAACCTTCTTAAAATTTGGTTTTCTGCTGAACAGTGTGTCACTGTCCTTATTTGTTCCTCTCGGACAATGGGGACTGCTAAAGAACCACTGAGAGTGAACTGGCGTAGGACTGTGAGTCTGCTGGGCTGAAATACGTGTCTGTGTACATCTGTGCACATCTATATAAGTATTTTACGTTGACAGTCTTGAAGAGTCTTTGAACAAGATGTTGTATGAAGGGGGACGTTGCCTCGATGCAGAGACTGATGGAAATGCAGAGGGAGATTCTGATCCATCAGCCTGGAAAGGTCCATGCTAGTATATCTTCTGCCTTCTGGTTTTCATACTCGATGGCAGCAGCAACATTTGGATTGCAAAGATGAAATAATGAAAGCTGTTTTTGTTGGATTTAATCCCAAGCATTCCAGTTGGTTTTATGGCTTCTGAAATGAAATTTGTTGTTCTTTTTAGCCGGGCCAAGCTTAACCTTATGTTCCCATTTATCTGTTTTGCTGGTCTTCTAAATAGCGGATCTGAGATGGCAAATTCATGTTTTATTGAAACCTAACTAATGGCTGCTGTGGAAAGGAACTTGGTATCAATCTGGATGGTAGTGGATCACATGTGCAAAAACAAAATGCACAGAAAAATCTTGATGTGTCCGCATCAGATGCATAACAGAACCACCTCCAAACACTGTATAAATAGCAAGTCTAAACCACAGATACCATCCACGCCCCGTCCCATCATTTTGGATGAGTGTGCCACCACATATTCCCAACAAAAATACAGCTGAAAAAGATGACAAATATATGGGACATGCAACGCTTGAAAGACTCATGCTTACTTGTAGACATGTAACAGCCTCACTTCAGAATTATGAAGACCAGATTTTTTTCAGAGCTGAACTTTAAAGCTCATGAAGTACTGATGTGTCTTTGCAGCCCATTCCCATGTGTGGGCTGCTGCTGAAAGAGCCGGCAGCCCTGTTTTCTTACAGAGGGTTCCTGGTGGAAAGCTATGGGCGTTGACATCGTGTATGCCTTCCGCGTCCTTACAGGAGAGAGCGCATGTGGTGTCTGCCTATGCGGTGACGCAGCCCTGGTGGAATGTGCGTGTGTGTGTGTGCGAGTATAGATCTGCAGAGGCGTTTCTGACCTCCTGAGCTCAGGAGTGTGCCACAGCGCGCTTCTAGGGAGCTTGCAAGCATGAGCTGGTTACAGAGAGAGCGTGGTACTTTGACACTGGCACAACGGGTGGTTCTGTAGCCATCTTCCAATGCTTTTTCATGACAGATGGTTCCGTAGCCATCTTCCACCACTTTCACAATAGCTGCGGTTCTCGAGAGTTTAGTGAACTATGAAAAGAGGCTAGGTTGTAGCATGCACATGCTCATTTCAGAATGTGTTCCTCTTTCAGAGCCTTCCCTTGGATATGTGCCTGGTAAATAGGAGGATTTTACATCTGCTAGAGCTGGTACAGACTTGCCTTGGGTTTTTAAAGCATGTTTATGTGTTGCTACTTGGCAGGCTTCAACTATAACTTGATTTCAGGAACTTGCTCAGTTATGGTACCCAAATAAGTCTGCTTCAGCCCCATCTCCTCCTTGCAGTGATGACCTCTTGGCAGCATTCTAGGGAGAGCATATTTAAAAGCAGCTACACCCCATGCTCTTGCTGTGAACATGTCCAGGAGAGGACGAGCTGACTGTTTCCATGCAAATTTGATGTGGTGACCTTACCTGAGCACATAAACTGCGTGTGTTTACTGATGTGCAAGTTGGAGCGTCTGTAAAGGCAGAAACAAGTCAGTGCTGGTGTGGGTGTGAAGGAGAGGCCTTCAAAAGTCTTACGTAGAATGACCTAAGGTAAGCAATGTGTATAGAAAGCATCAACTACATCCTGTGTGGTCTTTTCCGAGTTGTTTTTTTTCCAGCAAGGCCAGCATAGCTAAACTTAAACTTTTTAATTTTCTTGTTAAAGGAACTGTGTATTGTTTTCTCTAGGAACCCTGGCTTATCTTCTAAGAGCAGAGGATCCTAGTTGTGGGCAATTTTGAAACAATTTGTAGTTTTGGTGATGCATTTTGTCTTTCCCCACCTCCTCCCTTTTCCGTCCCACCCAAAGACCTGTGCGACCCTTTTTGTTTCTCTCATTTAACATCTTTCTGGCAAAATACATCTTTGCTAAGGGGCATGTTCTAGAGCTTTTTATTCACGGTGTTTGGCTTCAGTGTTTATGGATGGTGAAGCTATAGCCAGAAGAAACCTTAGGTTACCTTGGTAGATGAGTTCTGCTGTTATGACTAAATGAACAAAGTGCACCATTAGTCACATGGATTCTCCTTCATACAGTTCATCTAACCCCATATACAGTTGTACATTTGGTCTTCTTTGTGGTTTTCTGTGACTAAACTCTATTTCAATGTTGATTTAAAGCAAATCCTATGATACAATATAGTTGTTTCCTGCAGCGGAAGGACCTATTGCCAGCCTTTGCGTTACCTGCAGGAGGTCTATGTTGAAGCCTGTCTTACTGTCCCTCTGCCAACCCACGGTGAAGAGGCTGCTGGATTTATTCTTGGCTTACTGTCTCTCTCTGCAGCTGTCTAGGTTCCGGTTTTATATGAATGATTGTTTCTAATACTGTATGAATAAAGCTCTTCACCCACAACCATAACATAAGCCTTAAGTCATGATATGTTAGAAAGATATCAGACCTTTATGACCAGTAAAAGTTCTTTCTTCCCTACTAGAAAGGAGAGAAACATTTTGAAAAAGGTTATTTGATCTGTATCGTTTGGAATGCAAAACTTTCCATTCCCCTCTATCTGTGTGCCTCTCAGAGGTCCTTTCAGTGTCTAGAGGCTCTCCCACCCTTATGATGTTCTGTAGCATTCCTCTCTAACAAGCCTGATGTCTCCTTACTCTTGCAGAAGAAAACGCAGAAGTTACCCTGGATGTGTCATTAGCATATCGCGATGACATGTTTGATGATTGGGAAGAAATAGCACATGCAATAGAGATCAGGAAGCTGAAATGCACCTTTGGCTCACCAAAAGTAAGGTGTTTTGATGATGCGGGAGGTGTGGGAACGTGGTGGGACTTGTCCTCTTCCTTTCCTTTGCAGTGCTTCCTCAAAGCTCCGAGTTGTTCAATCATAACTTTCAAACGTGTCAGCTTTCTTCTGGCTCAAAATCTTTGAAAGCCTGATGAGCTCCACATGCAATTGGTTCTGTTTGGTGATACAAAAGAAGGGGATGAAGTCAGAGGTAGAGTTAAAACTGTAAGGAAGAAAAGGTGCGAGGTGTTTCAGAGGAGTTGTCTGGAACTCAAGCGCTTTGAGATCTGTATACCCCCAACCATCCTAGAGAACTTGGACATTTCCATCTTGTGCTTCTGTGATGGACAAAACCTTGTTCTTCAGGATTGGCGATGAAATAGCCCACCAGGGATGCTGCAGCGCTCAAAGAACCTGGAGAGGTGGAGCGGGAGTTTCTCATAAATAACTTCTTAATGCCTTGAGCTACAAAGCTTAGGAGTAGAGAGCACAGCCAGCAGTTGAGAACAGAGCATCTTGTTTAAAGAAAGATGTTTCTTTTTGTGCTGCAGACTGATTCCTGTGCTTAAATTAATCTAGTGTCTCTTTACCGTGCCATGTTTTTCAGCTCTGTGTCTTGTTCTCCCGTTTCACAGTCCCTTTCAGCAACCTACCTATGTCTTCAGTAACACCGGTACTCTTCTATACAGCCACACATATGCAGTAAATACATACAAGGCACAAAGGGGAGTTTTGCTAGTAAAACTGGACTAAAGAAACCCCACATCAAGACATGTGCGAGAGGGTTGCGCATTTTGTTTTGGCTCAAGTGCACTTGCTGAGGGAGGAAGCTTGGATCCCAAAGTAGCCTTTCATCTTGGAAGGCTCCCTTGACTTTAAGAGTATTCAAGAGCCTGAAGTGTGAACCTGCTCAAGGTCAAACGCTACTGACCCAATGACCCAAAACAATCAAAAACTTAAGGAGAAATGTCCCCAAGCCACTGACTTGCACAGGCTGTCCCCAGTTGAAGGCTGGAATTAGCAAACAGGCTCTCGGTGCTAGCAATGGTCCCAGCGTTAGGGCTTTTGCAGACCCTTGCCATGGGGGGCGTGCTGGTCCATCTGAGGCTGACCACCATGTTGCTGCTCTCTGCCCTTTCGCTAGACCCTAGAGTCTCAAGGCCGTCACTACGACTGTGACTTCCTTCCTTTCATGGAGATTGGCAGCGTGGCCCACAAGTACTACCTCATCAACATCCGCCTCCCCGTGAATGAGAGGAAGGGCATTAATGTGGGCATTGGGGAAATCAAGGATATCCGTCTCGTGGTAAGTATCCATCTTGCTTCTGTCCATGATGTCTGACTGGGGGCTGCTGCAGCTCCTGTCTTGATCTCCTCTTTGATCCACAGCAAGGTCCTGCTCTTCATCATGAGTAGCTCCTGCCTGCAGATGTGACTTTCCCTCCTTCCAAAGGGATGTCCTCTTTAACTGTGTTCTTCTGAGGAGCCCTCCCCAATTCTGCCAGCTTTTTCCACGTGGCATCAGAGTGCCCCTCTCTTGACTGCTCTGTGCCTCACAGTGGAAGCTGTGTGTGTTGGTGTTTTTTTCAGGACTTTTGAAGCCTGCTCAGGTGGCCTGGGTGCTAAGTAGGCACCTGCTCCCTTTCCTGTGTTGGACAAGCTGTGTCTTTCAAAGAGTAGTTGCATCTACTTATGCTTACATGTACGTGCCTCTCCTGTCAGCTCCTGTAAGGAGAAGCATGGAGTAATGCTTTTGAACCCTGTACAGCTGTGGCATTCCACTTTGGTTTCCCTTAGGGCATCCATCAAAACGGAGGCTTTACAAAAGTGTGGTTTGCCATGAAGACCTTCCTCACCCCTAGCATTTTAATTATCATGGTCTGGTACTGGAGACGGATCACGCTGATGACACGCGCTCCTGTCCTGCTGGAGAAGTGAGTAGGGGCTTGCATGCTGGCCAAGGTGACCCTCAAGCAAGAGGACCCTGACGGAGGTGGTTACTGCTCCCAGGCAGAGTCCATATTTGGGGAGACTATGGTCTCTTCTCTATCCCCTCCCTCCACAGAGGCACACTGGGAGCAGGAGACCTCCATAGTTTCTCTTTTCTTTCCCATTAAACCCGCAGAGAATTTGCCCCTGGCTGCTCAGAGGGGCTTAGCCCCAGTGGGTTTGCTGGCAGGAGGCAACACCCCACTGCCACTGCCCAAGCAGTGCCAGATTTTCTTCTGTTGCTCTTCAGGCACGGTTCTGGCTTCTGGGACTCTGTTTCCTTGCCTTGCAAACTGGGAAGAGGTTGTGTTTCTGCCTCTCCAGGGTCATCTTTGCTCTGGGAATTTCCATGACGTTCATTAACATCCCCGTGGAGTGGTTTTCCATTGGATTTGACTGGACTTGGATGTTGCTCTTTGGAGACATTCGACAAGGCATTTTCTATGCCATGCTTCTATCATTTTGGATCATCTTTTGTGGAGAGCACATGATGGTGGGTATGACACAGAAGGGAAAGTGGCTTCCAGCGACACTTGCAGCGACACTTGGCAACTCCCTTGTACTTGTTCAGTGTTGGAATTGATGCTGTGGGGACTTGCACCAGATGAGAGGACTTCAGGCTAACTTGATTTTCCATTTTCTCCTCCTCCTCCCCACCTCATGACCCTCTGATTAGGACCAGAACGAGCGGAATCGTCTCTCGGGGTACTGGAAGCAGGTTGGACCCATAGCTGTTGGCTCCTTCTGCCTCTTCATCTTTGATATGTGTGAGAGGTAGGTGCAGTGCAGCTCTCCAGCCCGTGTGCGCTGCACCTGGGGCAAGCCTTCCCCAAGCAGCGAGCAGAGGCTCCAGGCCACCTCCTGCAGCAGGGACCAGCAGTTTAACCCCTGGGGCTGGATGCACAGCCCTATCTTGTGAAGCGAGGAGAGGCTCCTATGAGTGCGTCAAAGTATGCTGGCATGTCACAGTGGGGTGTCTTGTCCCAAAGGGCATGGGAAAGCAGTGTGGCTGGCCCCTTTCCGGCTGCAGAGCAGATGTGGGGCGCTCTGAGCCTATAGACAGCTCTGTGTTTTCTCTCCTCTTTGCAGGGGTGTGCAGCTGAAGAACCCCTTCTACAGCATCTGGACCACCGAAGTTGGCACAGAGCTGGCTGTATCCTTTCACCCAACGTGGGGCAGGCTCAGTCTGTCTCGGTAGGAGAGGGAGGTGGTCCCGTCCTGCCAGATACCTGTGGAGTGTGGGGAAACTCTCCTCCTTTTGGCACACTGGGGCTGTGAGAGGGGGCTCAGGCACTGTGGGAGATGCTGGTGGTGTTTGGAAGAAGCACTCCTGGCAAGTTTAGTGATGGGTACTGCCAGGGAGTGGTGTTGTGCTTGGGGAACTGAACCTCTGTGCAAGATGTCAGAGATTTGGGGGGAAGCACAGGGGATTTAGGTCTGAGATAAGCTAATGCGATTAGTCCCCCTTCCGTGGCATCCAGCCCTCTTGCAGGAGCCTCTCTGAAGATCATGCTTGTTGGCAACAGCTTCCCAAATCTCTGCCGATTTTGAAGAGGCAGGCATTTGGGCAGGTTATCCCTCCTTGGTGCCGTGCCCAGTGCTGGGAGCTGTCAGAGCCCATGCTCCCAACTGAGCTGGAGGGCTCCCCAGTGCTGTCTTGCTGGCAGGCAGGCTGCTGCCCTGACTGATCGCTGCCCCCTCGGAGTTTAATTACGATAGCTGAGATGGTACTGAAATAAGTGAATCGCCTGAGTAATGTTTGCTATGACCTCTGTCTAGCTCGTATCATTTTCTCTTAACCTATGCTGATCAGATGGCCTTTATTATAGTTGCAGGGATCTGCTTGTGTCTCTATTTTCTCTTCCTGTGCTTTATGGTCTTTCAAGTGTTCAGAAACATCAGTGGAAAGCAGTCAAGTCTCCCAGCCATGAGCAAGGCTCGCCGCCTTCACTACGAGGTAATGTCCCTCCTTGTTGCACAGATTCTTTGTTTTTAAAATGTGTTTTGGACCTTAAAGTCTATACTGAGACCTTCTCTGTCCGTATGGTCCTGATTGCTCAAATCCCCTAACTGCCTTTTTGTTTGACTGTGTGAAGTTTCTTCTTTGTGTCTTTAGTCCCAATGAAGTATTTTAAACTGGCAGAAGGGTATGTAAGCTAGCTCTCCTTTCTTGTGAGTAGTTGCCATCTCCCAGCTTACTGCACCATGTTGGAAGATGGAAGAAAATTGCCCAAATTACGATTTTAAATTACTACAGGGTGTAAGCCCATCAGTTCCCCACACCTCTGTTTCTCCTCCTCTGATTAGTTAATTACTGCATTTAATGGGAAGTATTGCTAAGACCACTCTGTTCTTCCATGGCATGAACTCAGGTTTTTGGGGTTGCCTTTTCCTAACCAAGTGTCATGGTTTGAGCCCACGTAGCCATCAACAAAGCACCACACAGCTGCTTGCTCACCCCTACCCCCTCGTCGGCAGGATGGGGAGGAGAAAATAAACCGAAAGGCTCAAGACAAAGGATGGGGATGCTCACTCACGGGGTATGCTCACAGGCAAGAGACAGAGCCAACCTGGGGAAAACAACATCCATTTAATTAACAACCACCACCATCAAGAATAATGATAGATACAACCAGGTCTCAAAGACACCTTTACCTGGATCCCTCCCCTCTTCCCAGGCTCAGTCTCTGCTGCTCCTTCATCCTCAAGGAGGGGGGCCCTCACAGCCCACCCCTGCCCCACTGTGGAGTCCCTCTCACAGCAGACAGCCCTCCTCTGACTGCTCCAACATGAATCCTTTCCACGGGGCTGCAGGTCCCCAGAACCCCCCAGCACGGGTCCCTCCCGGGGCTGCCGCCCTCCCATTGCCGGGCTGCTCCAGCGCAGCCAGAGTCATGGTCTGCTCCGAGCCCGGGCCCTGCTCCTCCGGCCCGGGGCTCTCCACGGGCTGCAGGGCGACCTCTGGGCCACCGCTGGGCTCCAGGGGCTGCAGGGGCTCAGCCGCCACCCCACTGCGGGCCGCAGGGGAACCTCTGCTCCGGCACAGCTCCCCCTCTCCTGCCTCACTGACCGGGGTGTCTGCAGGGCTGTTTCTCTTGCATTCCCTCTCCTCTCCTCCACTTACAAAGAATGAGCCTTGCCCAACAGGCTTTCCCCTCCTCAATAGTGTTATTCACAGAAGTGCCATTGGCTTGGCCTTGGCCAGAGGCAGGTCTGAATTGGAGCTGGGGGAGCTTCTTGAAGCCTCGTACTGGAGCCACCTCTGTAGCCCCCCACCCTGCAACAAAACCCTGCCAGACACCAACACGCCACACCAAGCTGCAGGGAAGCTGTCCCGCTCGGATCAAAATGCAACATGTTCAGCCCATTATCCCTGTTTTTTAGCCCGTGGTTTGGTATGTCATTTCTGCCCTTGCTGTCTTTAACTGCTGCAAAACACAAGGAGCTCACTCTAAGTGCTTCAGCTGAGTGTGCCTGTTGCTTCCAAGGATGTGTAAATACTTATCACCGATGTTGTTATGTTATATGATGGTCACTTCTGATTTAAGCAACTCTGTTATCACTCATCAGGAATGCACACAGAGAAACAGAAAACCAGACTTGAGAGGATTTGAAGAAGATCTTGAGCATTTTTTTCTATCTTTCCCTTTAGCAAGAGGCACAGGACTTCAGCTTGTATTGTAGAGCTGCTGCAGCCATGCTCTACATACAAACATCGGGCAAGCATGAATCTGATCTCGAAGAGTTAAATTAATGGTCATTTGTTGTCACAGCGTGGCATAGTAGTTACACAGACACCGACATTTCCACCAGAATTCCAGAACCAGGTTAAAAAAAACACAACATACACACAAAAGCAAAACCAAAAGAATTTGTAAGTAAAAATGTGAAACCAGTGAAAGCGAGTGTGGAATGCAGATTCCCAGCCACGTGGTCTTGAGCCTTAGTTTGTCTCATAATCTACATTCTTCTGTAACAGCCAGCATAGTTTTAACAAGCATTGAGAATTGCTGCAGTTTCCTCCCAGACAGACCGTGGATGTGAGGACTAGTCTGGTCCGGACCCCGTACCCATGCTGTAGAAACACCGACTCACCTTGCTAAGCCATGTGAGCTCCCCACAGATGTTTGTTTTACCAGAGCTGTGAGCTATCAGGCTGGCTCCTAGCGAAACCCATGGCTTACGCTGACCTGCCTCCTCTTCCACATTAACTCTTGGTAAATCGGTCACAAAGCAGATGTAATGGAAAGCCAGAGCTGTCCAGACATGCACACCCCGCTTGGAGCATCTGGGAGGAATGCAGACGTGTGGGGAGCGGAGAATATGGGCTTTTGTGAAGACGGCGCAGAGGAGTGGGTGGAGGTTGTTTTGCTTTGGGGTTTCGTGGGTTGGACCCTTTTTTTTTCTTTGCCCTTTTTTTATATATATACTTATGTCTCGTATGCGCTAAAAACAAAAATGGGTTTTTGTGGGTTCTGTTAATGTGACCAGTGACATTTCTTTCTAAACAGGGGCTGATTTTCAGGTTCAAGTTCCTGATGCTCATTACCCTGGCTTGTGCAGCGATGACAGTCATCTTCTTCATTGTGAGCCAGGTGAGTGACGAAACTGCTCCGACTGAGAACATCAGACCCTGATTCCCTAGCCACTAACGATGTCGGCTCGCCTGCTGTTGTTCAGACGAGGCATGCCTGTTACAAGCAGATTTGATGATAAGTTGCTTTTCAAGAAGTTGTTTTCATTTATTTGAAGCACTGCCATAAAATGCTCAGGCTGAAGCCGTTGGCTCACGGTAAGGTTTGGGGCTGCACTGTTTGGAATATTGGCCAACGTGGTTTAGTCATTTCTGACAACTCAGCAAGAGGAAAAACGTTCTGTTCACACTGAAGCAATCCACTGGCTTTATGTGCCTGCAGGGAAGTAACAGAATTCAGTCTTGACTTTGCAGCCCTGCTGTTTCCAACAGTACCAATACCTGTTTATTCAGAGCTACAATGCAGTGTCTCTGTACAAATGAGCTTCTGTCGCTACTTAGATGTACTTTGATGGTTTGCTCTGAGTGACTTTTAAGATGGCATCTGTTTCAAAGATGTCCTTTCTGGTTGTTCTGAAGTAGAGGCAGCCTGTAGCTCCAGGCGAGCCGTGGGTACAGCCTTGCCAGTCTAGCATTGCAAGATTAAGGGTATGGGAGCCGTGTCTCCTTCACTGCACCACTTTTACGCTTTGGGGTACGTGGTGGGTCCCAATGCAAAACACAGCAGTAGGTGATTTTGCTCTTAAAAATCTGTTAGACTGAAGGAAAGGTTTGAGGAATGCCACTTGGCAATTCAGCTCATCGTTGAGCCTTAATGACCATCACTGCGAGTGGGCGTAACACAGACAGTCTTGTCCAGCTATTCTTTCTAAGCTAGTTTAGCTTTCGTCTTTCCCCCTTATGTCCCTTTCTTTTAAGGAAAGGCAACGTTTCAGCGTGAACAGTCTGTGATATTAGTATTAATGATATTTTCCTAAATCTTGACAAATCTCTGTGTGTCTAAGGCTGATGCTGTCAGCCTAGGCCCCTCTCGTAAAACAGAAGCAGCAAGGCAGCATTCAGCACATTAGCTTTTCGCATTATTCATGCTGGTTTTCCTTCCATGAAAGGTCTATTTATAGAAGTCTAATGTTTTCAGACGTAACTGGTTGTCTCCTAGGTACTGCCCTTTATGTGACAATCTTTGCCAAACACAGCAGTCACGGCAGGGATGTATCATAGAATGTGAGAGACTTTGTCACATTTAAGAATGATAAATCAAAGTTAAGGAAGTCCTGATGCTATCATTTTGTAAGGATCATTTTTTTCCTGCAGATTGAGGCTAAACAGGAGAGAATCTTAGCCTGACTTCTGCGTCACTGAATCTGCTACCTTCCATTTACTCCATCCTGTTGAATTGTCACTGTTCTTACTGATTTACTCCAAGTTAGTGCCTTAGGGGGGACGATTCTGTACTTCTACAGAATTTGGTCTGACTGGCCTGTACGTATGTGCTTTCTCCTGGGCAGGTGACCGAAGGCCACTGGAAATGGGGGGACATAACGATACAAGTGAACAGCGCCTTCTTCACCGGCATCTATGGGATGTGGAACCTCTACGTCTTTGCCCTGATGTTCCTGTACGCACCATCGCACAAGAATTACGGTGAAGACCAGTCGAACGGTAAATGCCTCTAAATGATCTGAAGGTGTCACGGGGGAAGAAGGGATATAAAGTGGGTGATAGCTTTGGTGCCTTTTTTTTTTTTTTGGCTAAAGTGCACATTCAGCGCCTTGAACTGTTATGCAAATGATGGTTTAGTTTTCCTAGCAGACGTTTTAATGACTAGGTTAGGTTTGAGTATTTAGCCACAGCTGTCTAAAACCTTCTGGATGGTTTTTGTACTTTTTAGCATTGCCCAGTTGTAATTGTGTAGCTCAAATGGAGGGATGAGGGAAGAAGACCATAGAAATCTGGGCAAGTGGCGAATGGCCATGCTGCTGGTTTCTGTTATCAGCAGTCTTCAGTAGCACAGAAACCGTCCTTTACCAATGTGTTTGTATTTAAATAACTGTAAATAAAAGCATTTATAGAAGTGTTGCATAGTCCATAGCTCAGGTAGCTTCTGAAAGCCTGGAGGGAATAAACCAGATCTTTTGCTTTCTAATTGTCAAATATTTTATTGTGAAACTGGGCTAATGAAATACCTTTGTTTCTTAGGTGACCTGGGAGTAAACAGCGGGGAAGAGCTCCAGCTCACCACCACCATCACCCATGTGGATGGGCCCACAGAGGTTTACAAGCTGGCTCGCAAGGAGGCTCAGGAGTAATGCTGGGACAGCCTCAGCTGGGAGCCAGACCAGAGTGGAGAGCAGAGGATGGCACAAGGCCCTCTGGCAGGAGACCTGTCTGACCTACCTTGCTTCTGGAGCACCCGTACCTAGTGTATTTTCACAGAGCAGTGACACCGAGCAGAACATTTGTAAACTCTTTAATATGGTGTAGTTATTCCTGGGGGGAGGGATACGTATATTGTGTTACACTCGAGCACGTAAAAACCTGCTAGAAAAGCATTAAGGTTGCAAAGTCGCGCGTTCAGGAGTTAGGAAGGGGCAGAGCTGACACTGGGCAGTTTTGATTTGGCTGTTGTGTGCCTGTGCATAAAGGTGGCGCAGGGAGCTCAGTCAGGGAGCACATATTTGGTGCTTTGAGTGCTGCTCTTATGTGCAGCTTTAAACAAGGTGTTGGCTGGGGGTGGAACTAAAGCCTCATTGTAAAAACATTTAATTCCACCATCTGTAATAGTATTGAGCCATGTTTGAGGTCGTTAGTACAGCCCTGCAATTCCACAGCAAACCTCTGTCACTTGAATGCAACACAGCTAGGGAGGGAACAGACTGTAATGCCTAAGATTTTAGCAGAAGCAGCGACATGCTTTTTCAGGAGGTTTTACAGCTGTTTGTTAAATATAGGGGGATGTAAGAACTGGATGCTTGACCTGAGTCGCAGGAGAAAAGAGTGTTCCTGTCCCGAGTTCCCAGAGGGACTGGTCCCGTGGCCAGCTCCTGCCTATTCTTAGCCCCTTTGGCTTCCCTTACTTTTGTTGTCCTCCTCCATCTTACCTCTTTGTTATGGCTCACTCATTTTTATGCTGCTTACATGCCACGGTTCCCGTGCCTGTGAGCGGGGCAGAGGATGCCAGGCAATCCCACTCCTTCTCGCACTGCTGGGGTGGAGCACGCCTGGCAGAGCTGAATTCTTCCAGGGATTATCGGACTTGAAAAAAATCTGCTCGTCACACGCTAATGTGGATATTTGCTTTTCAGAGCAAAAAAGCAAACGATGAGGTCGCTCACCCCCATGCCATGCCTGGGCGGGTCTGGCTGGGAGATTGTTGGCAGTACGTGGGGAACCGGGGCTGGGCTGGGCTGGAGGCGTAAACAGGACTGTGCTGGGGACCAATTCAGAGAGGTGTTAATGGTGGGTGTGGGAAGAAGTGTAGCCAGAAGGGTCTGTGCTGCTCAGAGCACACCTTCTTCCAGGGCCTGGAGGATCCAGGAGGCCTCGTCACTGGCACTAGTAAATGTCTGTGTTAACCGCTAGTAACACATCACTCAACCTCCCACTCCGGGTTTGTCCCTAAAAGATAAGAACCTGCTACTGCTGTGTGGTCAGGGATTAGGGAGGGAGGGGAAGCTTCCAAAGCCACTGACGGGCTGTCCTGGGTACCAGCAGAAACACTGTCCTGGAAAAGGCAACATGTTGTCCTTGGATTCTTAAAACTTCTGAAATGGCACATCAATTCTTAGAGTATTAAGATTAGAGTATGAAAGTATAATTGGGAAATACTGTGAGATCACGTGTGAAACCTTAATCCACGTCTAGCCCACGTGTGCATTACAACCTGCAATTCAAGCCCGTTGCGTGCTGGCTTTGCTGTCACGCTGTGGTTTGTGTGTGAGTTTGGGGCTCTGGACAGGAGCTTAGGCTGTGCCCCTAGGACTCTGGTTTGCACCAGGAGGTGCTGGTTCATCACAGTTCCCACCCCAGCAAGCAGCTCGTACTGGGCAATGCCCATCCCTGGCTGCCCTGTGCATCCCTGTGTGCCCATCCCGCTGCTTGCACAGCTCTAGCTCAGCTCTAACCAGCCCCGTCACTGTTTCAAGCACATCATTAACCAAGCACAGCACCAACTTCCCTTGCCTTTTGCTTTCCCTTGAGACAAGTCAGTATTTCAGCTGGGCTGAGGAGCTCAAATAATTCCTCCTTATTGGGCTGTTGTGATCCCAGTAGGAATGGCACTCTGCGAAGCAGCATTTAAAATGCCATTGATTAGAGCTCAACACTATGAAGAGAGGTAACGTAGATGGTCTTGCATCCCTTTGGTTGCTGGGAACCCAAAGTCATGCTCCATCAACTGGGTCTCCTGTCAGGGTGCGTGGCATGCCAGGCAGGCCCCATCTGCAGACGGGTTAGCCTGGCTTTGTCAGTTCAAGCTATTGTAAGATTTTCTGAAAAGAAGGCAATTCTGATCATTGTTCTGTTTGCCCTCACCAGGATCCCCAGCTCCTCCTGTCCCTGGCAGCATCTTGGCCAGGACCCAGGGTCAGGGGTGAGGAATGTTGAATGCATTGCTCCAGGTGAAGTCCCTCATGTGCTGCTATGTCTGAGCGGGCAAAGCCACCGTAGCACAGAAAAAGTGCCAAGCACTGCTGAAGGAGGTGGCTTTGGGTGGTTTTGGATACTTGAACTGGAACACTAATAATTTTTTTATAAGTTTGGGGTTTTTTTGTAAAGTGGGATGACAATGCCCCTGAAAGGAAATGAGGTTTAAGAGAAAAGAAAAAAAAAAAGGAGGGGACACACTTATTGTGTGTGGAGTCAGTGCTGGGACCGCACCTTCAACACAGATGGCAAAATGTAACTTGTAAGCAATTTACACGAGGAAAATAGGTGCTAGTAGGACCAAGCCACATTCCTACTTGTTGTTCAGCTACAAAGTGAATTAAATTAACGCACATCATCGTAACTCCAGCGTGTTCCTGGCCGAGTGCTCGACTTTGCAACTTTAACATCCTTTTTACGTTGGGTTCTTACGTGGTATTTATGTTGTTCCGATAGATATGTCCTTTGTTTCTTTTACAGCTTAGTATAGCATTGCATTTTGTAAAGGCTCCTTACAACTGAGGAATTGCAGCTTTAAAACCAAATTTTGTGTCAAATACTAACAATTTGTTGACGGGGCGCATGTATGTATGCGTGTGTGTGTGTGTGGTTTTTATTTCATAATTCATAAGCCTTACTCATGTCTCAAATAGTCCCTGGGTCTTGTTAAAATATATCCTTTTTTGTTTAGGTTGAGTTCAGTTTTTACAGAATGCTTTAGGTAACGTGGAAAACATGTAGTTTTGTTAATTTAAATAAAATATACAATATTGTGGATTTGTCTGGTTTACTAACTGGGAAGTCATAGCTCTTTTCCTGGGATCTTGTTTGCTTTTATTTGATCTTTTACTTCAGGCAGGGGCCAGTCACAGCCATGTTGTCTTTCTGTCAATAATCCAGAAAAACAAACAAAAAAAGGTTTCCCAGGACTTGGGTTTAGGGAGTCATGGAAAATTTGATGACAACAGATTTAATTCCAGTATCAACAGCTTATAGTTCCCACTGCAGTAGGGGCTGCCTTGATAAAATGGTACATGAGAGGGGAATGTGGCTGCCGAGTTCTAGGTAAAGCCCATGGCTCCATTTATCCCACAGCCTGTGTTGGCTACAGCATCTCCACCCTGGCGAGGAACTAGGGCTGCTCAAAGGCGAACGAGAGGCAGTACAGCACATTCGGGATCTAATGAATTTCAAAAGAACAAACTGATGAATTTTAAGTAACTAAAACCACTGCCACCCTCCCACACGCCTTCTCTTCCCCATTTCTCAGCGAGGCTGGCTCTGGCTGGGGCACAGCGCTGCCCTGGCAGGGCTTTGCTGCCCTCTGCTGCCAGCAGAACACCGCTTTCAGCCAGGTTAAAATCAAAAATAAATCCCTTGCCTCTAAAAACGTAGGAAATTTGCTTGCGTAGAAGTTCCTACTACCTGCAAGGAATTTGCTTATGTGTAGAAGCACCTACTACCAAGCTCCTCAGGGTCCGAGCTGTCCTAGGAGCTTTGTGCTTCTGTGCTGCTGGGCACAGAGAACTGGAGAGGAATGGGAAAAACCACTGAAGAGTTTCTTTAAGAGGTTATCTGGTGCTGCTGTGAGCAGCTGAACTTAGAAGCGAAATGGGTTATGATAGACTTTGTGGGTGAGCTGGGGACCACAGTTTTTGACCATTCAGCAAATGGTCTCTGGTTGGGACAGTCTGACTGGTTTTCCTCATGCTGCTTCCTGCGTTTTCTTAGAGGTCTGCAACCAGAGTCTCTTTCTGCTCCAAAGCTGGTTTGTGACTGCAGAGCAAAGCAAGGGGCTGCAGCGGACTCTGACATAGCCTTGTCTGCCATTGCTTTGCTCCCAGTTGCGCCGGTGCAAGGTGAGGTGTCGGCATGCAGCGCTGGGCTGATCTGCCTTCAAACAGAAGCCTCGGTGTGGGGCGGCGGCAATGCCCCCAGCTGCCTTTGCTCCCTCCCTCCTGGGGGACCCATCGACAGCAACTCCTTGCTCTGATACTTGCTGTGATGTTTTGGGAGACACTGGGGGAACTGGGCTGATGACCATGTCACGGTCATGGCGACCCCCATGCCCATCCCTCTGGAAGTGCCCATTAGACAAAATCTCCTGAATGGTATAGGGCTGCATCTTGCCACACGCCTGCTGGCCGTGAGCTCCAGTGGCAAGGCTTGCAGAATGGATCTGGCCCGGGTTTCCCAGCTTAAAAACAGAAGCAGCAACTTGTGACTGGGCGAGTTTGAGTGTCCCTGCAGTGATCTGAGACTGTCTCCATGTCCAACAGTGCTGTCAGCACTGGTGGGGGAGAGGGAGGTGCTGGTGTCTTCTCCTCATCCTTTTTAAACCTGCTCCCAGCAGTCCCGAGACAATTAGTATGTTGTGGGACACTGAAAGATGTCCCCTCTCCCACCACAAATCCAAGGCTATTGTATGGGATTTCATTACAATGAAAATAAAGGATTTGCTGTATTGCCAGGGAAAGAATTGCAGGAGAGGGGATGTACAGAGGGGAGACTGCTGCTCACGTCTCCTCCCGTTATTGTTCCAAGCGGCTGTCACTCCTGTTCTCAAAGATGAGACAAAGTCAGTTTATTTTTATTGCGGTGAATTAAGCAATAAGCAGCAATAGATTTATTTTTTGGAAGGATTTTGCTCTGTGGTTGGCACACAGATGTGGCACAGGTCTGCTTTTCCGCTTAGCACTGATATGATGCTGTATGAGAGCCAATGGCTTTTTTCATTTTTCCCGTCAGAGGCTATTACAGGAAATCAATATGAATTCAGGCTTTAGATCTAGAGTTTTTAATAAAATACAAGATCTTCTCATGGCTATAATTATTGGCACCTTCTTCCTCTCCACCTCTGACATGCAAAAGGGGTAAGTCCCTGGAGCCAGTGCTGCACAGGGTGAGTCTTCCCCGAGCAGTGGCAGAGGCTCAGCTGCCTCCAGCTGCCTCTGCTGCACAGCAGCTCCCACTCAGA